CACAGTACTCACCTCACCTTTGTTCTACCTTTGTGTTTGTCTCTTACATCTTTGAAACACTCTTCTGCTCCCCCCCCCCTATCGACTTTTCACTTTGATGTTCCTCCTCCCCTCTGTGAAGCCTTAAGTCAATTAAAGGGCTAATGATAACCATCAAGATGCCTGCCATTTGATACAAATAATGTTAACTTTAGGAGAAATTTATCAATCACTTGACAAATATAAGGCTCCTTACTTAAGCACCGAAGTTAAATAAAACATCTAATTCAAACCGTATTAATGCCACTGTTGTTTATATCAATGATCAAAATACCCAAAACTAAAATAGTCTGGAATATTGATTACTGAATCGGTTCTTTCGAAATTCCCTTCATATTTTTAGTTTCAGATGTTCCAAGCTGTTTTACATGAAAATACAAAATCAAAAACGAGAATAACGTTCCAATAAGATTAAACATCAACCTCAAGGCCAGCATTTACACTTCCAGATAGTTAAAATTATTGATCGTTTGCTCAAAATGAGAATTTGTAGTTTCTTAACTCAATCGGATTCTATTGTACAATAAAATAACATTTTTTGGATATCTTTACTCCCAGCTTCCAAACTTCATATTGAAGATATTTCAGTGGAGTACTTTTCATCCTCACTCCTAGTTCCCTCACTTTTAATTCCAAAACAATTTAAATTATTAATTGATAAATTGTTAACTTCCTTTTTAATATCCAATTTATCATTTTTTAATAAGAATAGTTAGGAAATGAGCTTTTTACTTGCAAATAATCGTCCAGAATCGTTAGGAAACTCCATTTGCCTGATGTGGGTTGATGGTATCAGACTTTGGAGAAAAAAGAGGCAATGGAAGTTAAATGAGAAAAATAGAGGTGAATTCCATGTGCATTCGCGTAGGCAGTACGCATTAGCTCCCAACTTTCAAATGAGTCATTTACATATTTGATAAAATGAGCAAAAGAACCTCTCCCCCCACCCCTTTCCTTGCAAATCTTCGAATTCCTCCGAATGAATTTTTTATCCTTCTCCTCTCTCACTCTCTCTCTCTCTCGCTCTCCTTGAGTTCGAATGATATTCCATCTACTAATATTGCAAAGTTTATAAAACTGGTCAACTTTCAGGCGCAAAATAGCATCTAAACAAAGGATTCAATCCCTGAAGAATACTGGTTGAGTTAGCTCTTCATCAACATCAACCGGGAAATGCTTTGAAGACACTTAATTTTGGTCTTCCATTAGCATTCCACATGTGGAATATAATTGTGGAAATGCTTGGATACTCTATTTGTCACCAAGGGGCATGGTTTTTTAATTCACTTAAGGTCTAAATTCCTTTGGTTCTGATGTTGATTGCTCAGGGGACGAAAACCATTTCGCACTCATCTCTCTTCAGGTTTTGAGGTTGCAAGGATTAAAAATGTTGGACTTATTCATCCAGTGAAAGCTGGCCCATAACATCCACAACCCTCTACCCCCAAGAACAGCATCAACTCTACTCCACATACTCGCAACTAGAGTCAAGAAATTGAGGATAATAGTGACTAGGGTGAGAAATTAAAACACTTCGTAACTTGAAGTTGAAAAGAGGATAAAAAATGAGGATAAATATGCGAAAATGGTGAAGAATAGATGACAATGTCAGCAGCTTAAACCCCCAAATCACCATGACGGTCTGTACTTTGAGTGGTACTCTAATACGTCCCTGAGTGCAGTTCATTTATTCATTAATTTTGGTGAGTTGCATGCCAATCTATATATTTAGCACGCCAGTATCCTATGCTTAGGCTCACAGACACACTCTACTACTTATAATTGCATTAATAGGCATACTTAGGCAGGCACACTAATTCTAAATGGTTGAATTTGATGTCAAAATGCAAATTTTCATTTGTTCATTTCAATGCTCTTATTTCAATGCCGTAGACTTTAAGTAAGTGAATATGCATTAACTGCAATCATTCCTTTCACTTGGTAAATTTGCAGGTTACTTCATTCATTTTTCCTTAGACAAACGCAGCTAGATACTTCCAAGTAGTTTTAGATGTGTTCTATGCTTCCGAAGGTAGGAACTATCAACGTCTCGCGTTTTTTTCACATTCTTTGCATTATGAGCTAAAAGTGTCAACGATATTACTTATTGACAACCATGCCAGTGGAATAGGTCGGTTGTCTTTTTCATTAATATTAACTTACAAACCCTTAGAAATGTGCAATGAAATTATTGAAAAACGCGTTCTCAATTAGGAATATCATTTTATTCCTAAAGAGGTTCTTGTGGACTGGCCCATGTCGTCCCTAGGTACTTGAATTGAGTTTAGGAAAGAGATGTGTCTAATCAGTCTCGCTCAGAAATCTACCCTCCTAAACCAGAAAATGTTGTTTTAAATCTATCTACGCCCATCTTTCTGCTATTTTTTTCCTTAGGGTAGTCGTCTTCTTTCACATTTGTGGAAATTAAAGTGTGTGTGTGTGTGTGAAAGAAGTTGCTAATGACGACTGTCTAAACGCCGGTAAGCTTAACAACAAAGAGGCCAGCTGTGGCTTAAGTCTCAACTCGGGACATCGTGTTTTACCAGTTTCTGGACGGGAATTACATGGGAATGTTTGAGATTGGGGTGGGTCGAGTTGACCCAAATTTCCTGTCCTTTGATCAGATGTCGGAACAAATGTGTGCATCTATAAAGCGAAATTCTTAATTGTCTTGCCACTATGTCGATAAAGTCAGTCAATTGGAATTTAGGGTAAATATTCATGCTCTTGGGAGCATCTATGTTTCGAATACTATTGTCTCACACCATGAGTTTTAAGAATGATTAATTACACAAATCTTATGACGATAAATCATATTGTCTTTGATATCTGAACTAATCGAGTACATGAATCTGGTCCAATGCACACCTGTAAATAAATTTGTCACCAATATGTCAACACAATCCATTCATGTCTATATTAAAATTCTTCTAAAATTTACAGAGAATGAAGTTTATTTCTAAAATTTCGATTTGTGCATTCGTCATGACCTTATCACTTTAGAATGGGAAAAAATTTCAATTAATTAAATTGGGTATAATTCTATTAATTTTATTTACACTCTGTAATTTTAATCAAAATTTCTGCTAAGCTTTAGTCATTTATGTAATGATGAATGAAATTTTTCGAGAAAAAATTGAGAAGACTGAGAATCAATACTCAGAATTCCTTTCTGTAATTAATCAATAAACTTGACCAATCAGGAGTTCCGTATTCAGTTGCGCGTTTTAGAAGTGACTAGCATTCAAACAGTGATAAGAATTCCCGTATAATGTATCGCAGCTTGGTGGTAACAGGTCTCTCTCAATTATGTCATTTTTTTACGTTTTCACAATTGCAAAAAAATGGAAGTAACATTGTAAAAAAGGACATTTATATTTGCGTAGGATTTGACAAGCATAGTTGTGGCATTATTATTACACTTATTTTGAGGGTGAACTGTCATTTCCTCTATTTAGGTTATTTTTCCCTGGCAATGAATCGATTTATGCCAAGAAGGAAGGGAACGTGTGGTTTGATATTAAAACAATAACAGGAAAAAAAATTCTGACAGTCAAATGAACGACAAGCTAATTTTGTTGGTGTTTGTATATTAATAGCACTTTCAATATTATGGGTCCTATAGTTAGCAAAATGGGCTTCTTTGAAATTTTGGGTACCCGACTTGAAGATATGAGCACTGGAATGAATTAGTGAGTTTGATGGAATTACATTCCAATTGGTAAATTCATTCCTTCTGTTGGTAGAATTTTCCTTTGCATTTGACTGCAATCTTTTATTGGTTTTAAATTGTCATCTCATCTTGACGCTTCAACGCCCTGTAGGACCGCACGGTCCTCTTTCGAAATAACCTCCATTGGTGTTAGAAGGCGCTATTGCCGTTTGAATCATGTTCAATACGTGTCTATAGCCTTCTCCAGATACACCTCCAAAACTCATCACATCGGTTGCATCAGTCTAATGTGTTCGATTGGGTGCGTTTTTCAAAAATAAATAATTCGAGCTCTAAAGAGTTAATGGCAGTGATCTCAGATTTATTTGTCACAGATATTCATGACCTTTCTTGGCAGCAATCAATGGATGAAAAAAATTCCCCTTAGTAACTGAATAAAACCGCAAATTTATCATCCAAAAATTTTGTGCTTCCAGTACCAAAATGACATGCGTATTGACCTGACTTTGTGATGAAAGTGAGTGCTGGGTGAATGCTTTATTAAAAGTACGCTTAGGTGTCATTATTCACTCATTTTGCATTCACCAAGTGGAATGACAAGCTGATCGAATCCATGGAATCTCGATCTTATCGAGTAGAATTAAAGTTAAATATCTGCATTTTCTCCCCCAAGTACATTCTTCGATCGTTGATGTAAGAACAAATACTTAAATGCATTGTCGTAAAGCTGGAAAGGCAATCGATAACATTGCCAAGCAGAATAAACTAGGTTCGAATATTTGGAAAAAAGAAATGTATATATATATATATATATATATATATATATTAGAATGATGGAATTGAAGCCAAAGTGTATGCGTTGTAAAGTTAAATGCCACGACATTAGGGCACCTTTCATTGGCATAAAGTTCACTGCTTTCTTAATTTTCACTAACATGTGCCTGCCGAAATGTGGAAAACACGTTTTGTGAAATGACGCACTTTGAAATGGAAAGTTACTCCCATTTCTACGCCATTAGAGTAATAAGCATTTTAAAATCCACCAATTCGATGAAAGCAGCCTTCTGTTTTTGAGGCCAATTTTGAAAGCCTTCAGTGAAATAGGAGCACCTTTTATAGTACATAAGGAGGTCAAGTACTTCTTCACACAAATTATACTTCCACTAACTTATTTTCGCTCTACACAACCAACAAAAAAAGAAACTAGGCATTGTGACAAGAAGAATTGGAATATCAGACGGAATATCATGTTTTAGACATTGAATACATTTCAATGCTTCAGTCTCCAATGACTGTGGCTGTTGGTATTATTTCTTTTATTTTCAAGGCCAATCAAGTGACTTACTGCTGATTCATGTATTTTTGTTTCCTTTGAGTTCAATTCATATTCACCTCTTGTTCGTTGGTTTTTGTACAAATGAGTCAGCCAGTCTTTTAGCCTTTCGACAAAATCGGACTTTTGAAAGCCTAACTTTCTGCAAATCGAATCGCTTTTCTTGTTTTCCACTTTGTTTCTCATTGAGTGTTGACAGAATGGGAAAGCATGGTTACTCATTTCCAAACTTAATCAAAATATTTTGCCCTATTTTTCCCACATAAATATGAGTATACGTTGTCCAGAGTGCACCACGAAGAGGCAAGTCTGACGCACACCTCACTATGTTAACGTTGCATACTCCACACCAGTAAAGCATTTTAGACAAAGTACTAAACATCTTTTTATTACTTCCACTCCTAAATTTCGTGGAAACGAAAAGGATAAATTAAATCTACTTCACTTATAGTGATTTTTTTATGTGAAATTGAAATTTCAGAAGATGGTCCTAATATATTATTAATACATATCTTTTATATCACGATGAAATGGTACCCTACATCACCGGCTCACTCAACTGCTACCATACAAGTGTCCGAATTCAACATTTTTTGCGTTTTTTACGCTTTCGAATTTTTAAAATTACAATTTAACATTAAAATAATTAAATATTTATTATAGAGTGGTAAGTCACTAATTTTCGATTTCCGATTTGACAAAAGATCTTGTTAAATAAGTCGTCTACGTTTCGATGCAGGAACTCGTGAATCGGCTTACGTCCTAGCTGTCACCTCGGCTGGCATCTCCCACGCAGTCACCAAGGCTTGCAGCTCTGGAATGCATGATAGTTGCGGCTGTGACCGAACCATCTATGATCACGAGCGTCAACCGAACTTTGAATGGTCCGGCTGCTCCGACAATATTCACTTTGGTGCTGCATTCTCCAGAAAATTCCTTGACTCGCGTGAAAAGGGCCGAGTGCAAAGAAACCCGAAGCTGGGACTTGCTAATCTTCACAATAATCATGTCGGTCGACAGGTGTGTCTTGCATTTCCTACTTAAATACAATTCAGTAAAAGAAAATTTAAGAATTCTTTACGGTTTTTTTTCATTGAAGGCGGTAGTAAACAAGATGGACATCAAGTGCAAATGCCATGGAGTTAGTGGTTCCTGTGAAATGCGCACATGTTGGAGGGCTCTTCCAGATTTCCGTTCGGTTGGAAATCAACTTCAAGATCTCTTCCAAAAAGCTGTTATGGTGGACTACGTCAATAATCGACTTGTTCCAAAATCTGCTCTCTATAATCATCGATTACCACCACCAGGTCATCCACCACAACCCCAATCCTCCCCCGCGGCCCAAATACCCATTAGCATTGGAGGCATTCTTGGACTTCCTATGCCGAAGGAAAATGAACTAATTTACACCACTCGTTCTCCATCATATTGCCATCACGATCCTCGCTATGGAAGTATCGGCACCTACGGAAGACGCTGTAGTGTTGACTCAAAAGGTCCAGACAACTGCGAGACACTCTGTTGTGGACGAGATTACCGTAGAGAGGTGTTTATTCAACAGGAGAAATGCAAGTGCAAATTTCACTGGTGCTGCGAGGTGAGATGTGAGACGTGCGAAAAGACTGTGGTTGTATCAACATGCAACTGATGGTGATGATGATAATGATGATGATGAGAAAATAAACAATAGACCATTTTCTTCTCCTACCTCTGTAAATTTGGTCATCACATACATATTCTGCGCATGCGTCACCAAGCATTTGTTGTAAAAATAAGGCCTGCCTCCCTTAGAATGACCTATTCTCACATGACCCTTGATCTTACTTCCACGCTACCCTCAACCTCTCTCTTTTGATATACTACTTATATCTTACCTTACTTTATATATATATATACATGCTACTCTCACCGCAAAAAATCGCTGAAATGACAAAATACACTGTCATTCACTTCAATCGCGATCACTGTACCACTCCTATTCCTTCTCCTCACAGTTTACAGACTCAATAACCTTCAATAAAACTACCACTTTGACTCCTGAAATACTACTTCGAAAATGACTGCTCTCCACATATTGCTGAGATGTCTCACACAAACGCACATATATATACTTTAATCAACTTCTGTTGGAGCTAACTTGGCTTCATTTTATGCATTCATCTCTATAATAATAATAAAGTAAACCCTCTTCTTTGCATTAGAATTGGGCTACTGAACTGCTGGGTTAATTTGCCCCAATTGGCAATATTTATTTATTTATTTCAAATGGCAGGCGTTTTGCTAGTTATAATTAGCCAGTTAGCTGATTTCGGGCTTCGGAGAGGGAGGGTTCATCAAAGTAACAGAAAGTCGAGGGGTACGGAACAGAAAAGCGAATCACAGATGTAAAAGAGACAGACAGACACAAAGGCAGAGAAAAGGTAATGTGAGTACTGTGAAATTGGAAGTCAGAAGTCAAGTGCCAATTAATAGACTTTTTTGCCGCATGAGTAAACGCTGCCAAGGGTGCACCACGTGAAGGTAAGTCTATCGCACACCCTCCACTTGGCAATATTGATTAATTAGTAAGCTTACTTTGTGGTAGCTATGCAGACCACAACCGACTATTGATTTTCATTAATAAATTAAATGCTTTATAATCATTTTATTTCCAATATAAACCAATATTTAAGCTTTAAGAATTAAGGCTGACCTATTTAAAAGTGACAATTTGAAAGGATTTATTGCAATATTTACGAAAGATTTCGCAGATCCTCCATTGCCTCTTAGAAATAGACCAAATTACTTGTGTAATAATAACCATTGTTGGAAGCGCTCTGAAACGAACATGGTAAAGGCCATAATTAATTTGATTTTATTGTCTCCCTTTGATTTAGAGCAAATTACATGAATGTACATACAATAGCTGAAACCCTGACAGAAAGAAAAACAATATTTTGTCAAATGAGTTTAAAGTAGCAGTGATTTACAACCAATTTCAGGCGTTGTTTACTCGTAGAGAAAATCATAGATTAAACCGATTCTCACGAAATACAACAGCAATGCAAGTTAGGATGCATTCATGGACTTAAAATTTCAAAATTCCATACTACAGAAGGAATAAAAAGTAGAATTGGTGTCGGTAAATTTAATTTAAACATATCTCCCACAACACGCCCAACTTTTCAGAGGTTAAAATGCTACTTCGATCTTTTTCACATTAGAAAAAGAAGATGGTGGGACGTGGACAACCCCGGAGTATGAAAAACAGGTGAAATGTGGAATTTTGCGTGATACTTGCTCGTTGTTCTGCAAAACAGAGGTTAAGTCAGAGGTACAGCCGGTAGGTACCGAATCCATGGAAAGACCACACTTAAATCAGATTAATAAAGTATTATTGAACATTTTACTACAACCGTTCCTCATGTCGATTAGTTGGTGATTAACACAAAATCTGCGCTCAAGCATTAGGATATGACTCTGAATAGGTTTATTTCGTTCCTCAAATAAGTTAGAAGAAAGACTTGGCTGTCGGTTTTACTACATCCAAGAACATTGTGTTGAATATGCTGGCTTCATATTTGACTGCTTTGAGAAAATAAACCAAGCAAATATCTTTAGACCGAATCCCTTAACCATTTCGTAGTCGTAAGGTGTAAACTTCCCAAGCCACTTGACAAAATTCATCTTATAATTGTGGAAAAGAGAGTAAATTTCAATAGGAGACATAATAATAATTAATGAGTCTACTTATTTCACGAAATGCTTAATTACATTTTAAATGAGGGGTAAATAAGCGAGAAATATAAACAAAATTTAAGTTGCTGCCTAGCGCAATAAAACAGCTTCCATTGATTCTGTCATTGGCATGCATTTCAAATAGGTTAATAACACTTAACTTAAACAATGCAAACTGCATTGGAACACATTGCCAAGGAACTTTCTGTTTGGGATCTAATAAAATCTACTCTTAGCAGGACAACAAAAAATTGACTTGATTTTAATAAATTTAATACATTCCTTTGTAAGAAAATAAAATTGACTCTAGGAAGTATTATTAGAACTAGAATTTATATATTATAATACATTTAATGAGTAAACAGAACTAGTTTGAATCTACTACTACTACTACTACATCTAGAGTAATTTTAGTAGATTTATGAATGTGCCCATGTTTAGTGAAGGATGCTATTTTGGTACGATCTGGTTGGCTCACAAAATAAATCGAGATTCGCCTGAAACTCACTTAAACTTTGACCTTCTGCTCTAACGGCCCTTCTCAAGCAAGTTCATCAGTGTAAAGATGCTATACCTTCTTCTATCTAACTTATAAGTCAGATGGGTTCCAGCGAACGCCTGCTGAAGGAATGAAATAAGGAAAGACAATAATTCCAATTAACGAAAAAAAGGACAAATCTGATAAATCCTGAAGTTATGCTTGAAGGCAGACTTCCGTCTTAAGGTAATCGAAAAAGGTCACAATTACAGACAGTCGTAGTGACCTTTTCTGACAAAATTCATCTGATAAGTTCACTCCTTGTTTTTGGTTCTTTCTCAAAGCGAATGATTAATTACTCTGCCTGATTTTTTTGCACTCTCACTGTAACATTCAGTGGAAAATCTCTTGTCTCCCCCCCCCCCCAATGGAAGCACTCTGTCCCCTTTAATTTCTAATGGCGAAATTATGTAAACCGGCCAGCCAATAGGAGTGAAATAGCAGAAGTTGAATTAATGTCAATACGTAATTGAATTTATTAATTTAGCCATCAAAAATTGTTCGTATTATAATGCAATTATTTAGCAATTTGCTCAGAGTAAATATGCGCTGTAGGGAACGTTTATGCGCGCGCGTAAAGCGCGTGAATGAATAAACATACGGGTTAATGTCACGATACCATTATGCTAATAATAATTTTGAATTTTATTATTTAATAATAAAGCAAATAATGATAGTTGCTAAAAGTGTCCGCAAGCCCCACTGAAGTTGAGACAGAGATTAGTTACTATAGTAAAATAGAGGATTATTTAATTAATAATAATTTTCACAAATTGGCATATTTTTAAGAAATAATCAAATTAATATTGACTGATTTTTAAAATTAACTTAACTATAATTTGTTTCCTAGCTGATACATTTCAATTATAATACTTGTTGAAATTGAACGTAAATTGGATATTGAAATTGTAGTAAATGATAATTTAAAATAAACTAATTCTGAAATGGATGGCAGTTAGATGGATCTATGGAATAGTTCTCCATTAAGCTTCTAAATGGCTTTCTATTTGAAAATATGCTGCTGGAGATTATATTGAAGATTGAAAAACTCCGTGTTTTAGGATTTTATAAATTTTGTTCATTTCTAAGAACACTTAACGTATTTTAATTCGTATTTTTTTCATATAAAGTCATCGCGTGAACTCAAATACGATATTTTAAAAAGTGGGAAAATTTATTTACTTATTTATATCAAATGGCAGGCTTTTTGATAGTTATCATTAGCCCCGGAGCTGACTTCGGGGCTTCACAGAGAGGAGGAGGAACATCAAAGTGACAAAAAGTCGAGATGGGAGACAGAATAATGATTCACAGAGGTAAAAGAAACAGACAGACACAAAGGCATAAAAAAGGTAAGATGAGTACTGTGAAAGGGGTCGAATTTCACATACAGTGGGGGTGATGGTAGTTTGAAGTGAGATGTCAACTACCAGTTTGATTGACTTTTTTGCCGTATGAGTATACGTTGCCCAGGTTGCACCACGTGGAGGTAAGTCTATTGCACACCTCAAAAGTGAGGGAATAGTTCTATTGATTGGAAAATCGTTAACAATGCTGACTGAAGGTAACTCTTGCGCTTAAGAGCGTTCTAGAAAGTGAGGCAGTGTATGCAGATCTTCCCAATAAAAAATTAATCAGTTCAATGTAGGGCACTTAACTTCGATAATATGACTATATACATATTGGTAGTTTTAATGCACACAAAAACACTTGTCATTTATCTATCAGTGCGTTTCTCCCTATTAATCTGTGCTAAACTCTTCTATTCCCAATCAAATATCAATTGTCGTTTTGGAATGGCCATTGTCCAAACACAACATCTTTGGAAACTTTATCTGTTCCTTTTAATGACGTTGTTAGCCGAAAGGTGTGAGCCAAAGTGTTAGTAGTATCTTAAGCGACTTGATATTGGGCTTACCACAAACTATCTTTGGCTTGATGGGGTGTGCGATAGACCTACCTCCACGTGGTGCACCCTGGGCAACGTATACTCATACGGCAAAAAAGTCTATTACCAGGCAGTTGACTTCTGACTTCAAACTACTATGACCCCCCTGGTTGTCATATTCGACCACTTTCACAGTACTCACCTAACCTTTTTCTCTACCTTTGTGTCTGTCTGCCTCTTTTACATCTGTGAATCGCTCTTCTGTTCCCCACCCCTCGACTTTCTGCTACTTTGATGAACCTTCCCTCTGCGAAGCCCGAAGTCAGCTAAATGGCTAATGATATCTATCAAAACGCCTGTCATTTGAAATAAATAAAATAAATCTTTGGCTTGATAATATGATGGAAGGTCATTTCTTAGCTGTGTAGATATTAAGCGTGCACACTGTTAACGCTTTGTTCGGCTTTAACATAACTGAAAATACAGCCAATAAGCACTATCTTTTTAACAATACATAGATTGACATGTCTGTCATTCTCTTAGTTATTAAAAAAATTTCAAGTTCTGGATGTACTTTCAGTAAAAGAAATTAAACTGAATAAAACCTTGTTTTGGTAACTCTGTTTTTTCCAATTTAATTCCCCTTTTCCTAATATAGATTAAATGAAACCAAACAAAAAATTTTAAAATCTAATAAGAGTATATATAATTTATTTATTAATTGCGTTATACAAGGTTGGGCAAATTATATAAATATGGAGAAGTTATCAGAAAAGGGTGTATATTTTCCCCAAATTTTTGAGTGCGCTCTAAAAAAATAACAAAAAAGAGAAAAAGTTTTATTAATAAAAATAAATTTTATTCATCCAATATTACAAGCAGTATAATTCTGTTAGGCAACCAAACTCAGTTTAAGTTTCTAACAGTTAACAATTTCTGTTGCAAATAAAAGATGGCACATTTCTTTTGTCAATCATTTTTGTTTCATTAGTGAGGTGAAAATTTGATGGACTTTTCCTAATTTAACTTTTTTCTTTGCGAAAATACATCGAAGAAACAGAAATAGTCCACAAAAGATCGTTTCAGAAAATAATTCTGACCACTTAACTTGTCTACGGAGAATAACATGGAACCATTCTTACAACAAGAAACTCTCATTCTCCCACCACTCCTCTCGACTCGAAATAATTAGAGCGACTGGGCTTCCACACTACCAAATGTTTATGCTTTCGCACCACAATCGCGACCCCTAGCTTTGTAAACATGCATTTGCAATTTTAACTAATTTCATCACTGAATTAGACAAAAAATTAAGGTTTGCGATTCTCTTTTGAATAGATGACAAAGTGCCCGAGAATTGGAAAAGCCAGTTCCATTATATTTCCACGAGCGTACAAAATTGTTTTCACTGACGAAATTACAAACTAGATGTGCATAGTATAGCAAGTACTTCTAACTACTAGTTTCAAAAATTTAATTTTATAAAAAATTACTTAAACGCGAGGAATTCCTCCACTATTCTCAAACATGAGTTTATTTTGTCGTATTCCTAAGAACCACATTTAACTATCGACTGTTTGGTGTCAGGTCACCACTGTCGAAACATTTTCTGCTTGTTGATAAGCCGTATAAGGCGCTTATTTGACCAAGACGCGTAATAAATTAAACCAAGAATTGCCATTCAATTAAATCAATTTAAGCGAGTGGTTAGATCAAAAGTTCACCTGTTTTAAGCACTTAGATAAATTTAAGGCAGATGTTTTTTAAGCTTTATCTGAAGATGTTGGAGTAAGTAAATACGATTGAACTCACAATTTTCCTTAACAAGTCTTGAACCCTCAATAAATTCGTTGAAGTCAATGATTCCATCACTATTGAAGTCCAAGAGCATGGCAAGTTTATTGATTGTGGAGTCTTCGTAGGCAACACATTTGTCCGCGTAGAGCTTCTTACACTTCTCTTTGAATTGCTCAACGCTGACAAAACCTGGAAGGAGAATTGACGTGATAGCAAACTTTGAAATGCCACTCGATTGGGAGAATTTATGCGCGTTAGAAGATCGAATTTTTCACATATCTGATTAAAAAGTATGCTCATGACCTTACCGTTATCCTCGACATCAAACTGCTTAAAGATTGAGACCAATTCGTCCAAGTCTGTGTAGTTTTCACTAGTGAATTTTCGCCTCTATTAAGAAAGAAAATGTTAAATAAATAAATATATATACTCCGCTTTTGTGACTGTAAAATAAAATTAAATATAAGTAAAAGTAAGACATTTTACTGAGTTATTTCGAAGAGTTAACTTGTAAGAATTGTTGACCAATATCTAAAATTCACACAGTTGTTTTAAAATTACAGTATGATTTTGCAAGGATGGCACGTAAAATCGTGAAGCGTTCCATATTATTTGGGGTGTGCGAAAGACTTACCTCCACGTGGTGCAACCTGGGCAACGTATACTCATACGGCAAAACAGTCTATAAACCGGCAGTTGACTTCTGACTTCAAACTACCATGACCCCACTGTATGCCATATTCTACCACTTCCACAGTAATCACCTCACCTTTTCTTTGCCTTTGTGTCTGTCACTTTTACAACTTCCCCAGTGAAGCCCAAAGTCAGCTAAAGGGCTAATGGTAACTATCAAAACGCCTGCCATATGAAATAAATAATTAGTTGCTTGAGGTGGGTAATGTTCATTTTCATACTTATTGATTTGGTCATAAAAGGGCTATTTGATTTATCTTTACATGATATGTATATATTTATATATATGCAACTCATTAGTTGTTAAAAGCGACCTTTGTTCACTAAATACATAGCTACTTAAGAAAAGTTTCCTTCGGTTCAGTTTAGAACTAGAACATTCTAGAGGGTGCGTCGTGTGTGCCCGAAAAGGGGTTGGGTGAACTTCTCAGGTAATCAGCTGCTAATGATCAGTCAAGTTGTGGAACAGTTATTTAGCTTCTAATCCCGTTTGCTGTGAGTATAAGTTCAATGGACGCTCTACTCGGTGTGTACCTTTGTCTACTCTATATTATTTTAGGTAGCCTAACTAGTTCCAGAGCCTTTCCATATAACCTGGGGGTATTTTGCCTCAAAGTGTTTTTGAGGATAAAATCTAGACTTAATCATAAATCACTCCGGTAACAGAAGTGAAAACCTTTTCTTTTTAATACTTATGAATTAAACAGTATTAGCCTAAGCACTCTGAACGCACTGTTTACTCCACCGATATGTTGTTGAGCTCAATTTAAGTCGATTTTAATCACAAATAAATTATTGGCAATAGTGATTGCAGAGCTTTTGCATTAATATTAGTAAATTAATATGTTGGAAGTTAACTTAATTCAATTATCGTAGTCAAATTACCTCCGCATCTGATTATGGGCTTTAAAATTTACAATTTTCTCAAGACACTATTTGAATATAACAATTGGATGTGCAGTACTTCCAAAGCAAAATACTTGTGAACATTCAATTTTACAGGCTTCGTCTCTGCACCTTTACGATAGTCTTTCGATTTTCCAACTAATGGAGAGTGTGGGGGTGGGGTGTGGATGAGGGGTTTGAAGCCCACATTGAGACAAAATGATCAACTTAGTGACTCACAATAGATTCGGAGAATATCTCGTGTTTGGGATCAAACATAGACATGTAAAGAACGTGGGTCTTGGGATGAGCAGGCGAGACTTTGACCAGGGAGTATCGAAGAATCCGCCATGGCAAATTCTGGCCGGCGTGTTTGAGCATCACGGTGCACCATTGAGTTATTGTGACCACTCCTTTGTGGAGGAAGGGTACACAAAAAACGCAAATGTTTACTGAATACTCGCATGCAACTAAACACAAACAAACACCGCCCTATTCCGTCAATTGCGGTGATTTGATTTCTCAATTTAAGCGATTCCAATATCAGTGGATAAGATGAAAATAGTTGCATAAGGATTCAATAAAACTGTTATGACTGCCTGTTGGGAAAGTCTAAGAATGTGGCAGATCTAATGAATCAATATCAGGGGGGTGTCCGATAGACTTACCTCCACGTGGTGCACCCTGGGCAACGTATACTCATACGGCAAAATAGTCTATTAATTGGCAGTTGACTTCTGACTTTAAACTACCGTCACCCCACTGTATGTTATATTTGGCTACTTCCACAGTACTCAAATCACCTTTTTTCTACCTTTATGTCTGTCTCTTTTACATCTTTGAAACACTCTTCTGTCCCTCCCTCCTCCCAACCTCTCGACTTTTTTCGCTTTGATGTTCCTTCCCCTCTGTGAAGCCTAAAGTCAACTAAAAGGGTAATGATAACCATCAAAATGCCTGCTATTTGATATAAATAAATGAATCAATATCAATAGGGACAATTGGAGCATCAAATATTTCCCAGGAAACCAAGACTCATATTCAAAAGTACACCTTTAAAAAATATGGTAAAAATAATGTAAATTCTGGAAATTATCTCAATACGAGTGAACTTTAGGATCTTAGTTTTCATTTTACTACTTAAATTCGATTCCCTTTCAACACCTCATACTATTAGGTTGGCAATTAAGTCATCGCCGATTTCAAATAAGAAGGTAAATTCGGAATTTTTATTTAAAAATATAACTTTATTCAATTAGATATTGGCCGTTCTTGTCGATGATCTTTTTCCATCGTTCGGGCAGAGCAAAAATTCCCCGTTCGTAAAATGTCTGGTCTTTGCTATTAAAAAACTGAATTAGGTGTGATCCGACATCATCCGCGTTGTTAATAATTTTACCATTTAAAGAGTTTTGCATGGAACGAAACAAATGGTAATCCGAAGGCGCAAGGTCAGGGCTATATGGTGGGTGTGACAAAACATCCCAACCCAGTTCCTATAATTTTTGCCCAGTAACCAAAGATGTGTGGGGCCTTGCGTTATCATGATGGAAAACAACACCCTTCCGATTTGATAATGCCGGCCGCTTATCTTCAATTGCATCCTTCAGTTTTTCGAGTTCGTCAAAATACACATTTGAATTTATCGTTTGGTTCTGCCGCATGAGTTCAAAATACAAAATTCCTTTGTGATCCCACCAGACTGACAGCATAAAACCTTTTTTGGTGAATCTCTGCTTTTGATACTGTTTGGGCTGGTTGATCTTGCTTCACCCATGATCTCTTGCGAGTAACATTGTTATAAACTATCCACATTTCGTCGCCAGTAACTAGGTTCTTCAGAAATGGATCATTCTCATTGCGTTTCAGTAGCGGCGAATCACAGATGCTAATCCGTTGCGTCAACTGAATTTCCTTTAACTGGTGAGGGATCCATAAATCAAATTTCTTGACATAACCAAGGGTTTTTAATTTTTTTTCAATGCATGTATGCAATACATTGAGCTTCTCTGCAATATCTCGTGTTGTGCTGTGACGATTTGAATCGATAATGGCCTTGATATGGGTTTCATCCACTTCGACTGGGCGGCCAGATCGTTGTGAATTTTTCAGTGAAAAATCACCGGAACGAAATCTTTCAAACCAATTTCGACACTGCCTTTCTTTTAAGGCTTCATCCCCATATACGGCACATAACTTCTTTTGTGCTTGCGATGCGTTCTTGCCTTTTCGGAAGAAATACAATAAAATGTGTCGGAAGTGCACGTCCTGTTCTTTCATTTTTAAATTGGGATAAAAACAAAACTAAAGAACTAAACAAAAATTTTTTTACTAATTAACCTAGAGGCCCATACAGTAAGAAAAAAATATAGGTTAGATGCTCTGGCCACGTTGACAAAACAAAAGAATGTATAGAGTGAATCTGTCAACAAAAAACGGCAATGACTTAGTTGCCAACCCAATATTATAGGCATACTTATGTTCTACATGTTGCTTTTGATAATAAAAAAGTGTTTTTTGGCATTAAATTGTACGAGGAAATACGCCAACAGCAGATTCTTTCCCCCCCCCCTTCTTAAGTGATTGGACAGATTATTATCTACCTTGGCATTAATAAATGGAATTCCTTTGCCAGGCTAAGGTATGTTTTCCATAGGACCTTTTAAGGTAGAAAATTCTTGAGCAACTCTGCTTTAGCTACCACTAGGTAATATTACTCAACATGAAGGAAGAAGAACCATTTATGTGAATGCGTAACAATCATGCAGATGTCAATGCATGCAGCGGTTAGCTCGTGTAGGAAAATGTCCTGTAGTTACACCAGGGAGGAACTTGCCTTCTACTAACCTCGACATCAAACATTAGTGCAGTAAGACATTCACTCCGATGGATATATGCCCTTCCCCCTCCCTCAGTGACCATCGATGACAAAATCTCCGATTGAACAGACGAGTGCACTAACCATTGCCTCAAGGCCACATGATGGAATAAATTCAAAGTTATGCACCAGCTTTAATAAAGGTAGAAAGTATGATAAAATTTTTTAGATCAGTTTCTTTTTGACTTGGAACTCTTTCTGAAAATTGGCCAGGAGTATTCTAAGCCTGATGAATAAGCTCCAGGCAAATTATCGTTCTTAATCTGCTCTTGTTTTGGAAATAAGTCGAAGTGTAGATAATTTTCACTCAATGTGGATGTTTCGTTTTCTGTTCCCAAATTTTCTTTATTATTTTTGTTTCTCTAAAGAGATGCGTGCTTTCCTAAATCCTAATCAGGTAGATTTTTCGGCAAATTCCAGTTAATTTCCGTAAACAAACGAAGAGTAAATTGTATTTTAAGGTTTCCTTACAACTTATAAATCTCGATTAAAGCCACTGTAGAGGAATAATGGTAAATCAAATCGGTTTTGCATTGGAGATAATAGAAGAATGGTGGATAATATGCAATCAGTTGAATGTCGAGTCAACTCGAAGTACGTCGGTTTTTAAATAACATTCAATTGTTTGTATGATTGATATTTAAGCTCTAAAAGTAAGCATTAACAAAGGAAACAGGTACTCGTGTGGGCTAATGTTAATATCAGAGCAGACAATGTCATCACTGGTGTATTCCAATTGAGCGTAATCGCGCATCTTAGAATGGAACGTGGTGGGGGGAGGGGAGATGTCTGAGCGTCTGGTGGCTTTATCCATGAGATGTGTGGGACACGTTATCGCTGTGTGCGTCATCGTATGCCTGCATGTCTGCTCGCCAGAATTGGGAGGTGCGGCTGTACAACTCTGTGTGCAGCAACCGTAAAAACAGTGACCAATCATCAACCTCTGTTTAACCTAATTCCCCATCCTGATCATGAGTAGCTCCCTGCGTGTACACACTTTATCCGCAATACCCGTACTGAATAAACGTGCTCCGTGCTACACGTCTATTTCCTTTATAGCTGTGCTATAGCTTAGCTGGTTCTGGGAGTCTAGCTAGATGTAAGAGGATCTGCCATAGAGATTCCTGAGTCGGTCAGGCTTTACCGAGGTAGCATTCCGCTACAGGGGGATGTCTGAACATCTGGTGGCTTTATCGATGCTAAAACCCAAACAGCGGTTTAATATGGACGACAGGAGATGTTTCCTTTCTTTTCTCAAAATACCCACTTGAGATGAAAAGCAGACCTTGTAATAACAGGAGATGTAATTATTATTATTGAAGGTTGGTAATATGATGTTTTTCAATTATTTGGATTATTTAAATTTTTTTAACATTGGCCCAAAATTAAACAAAAAATAACTAACCTTGGAAGTATCCCCAAAATTATGAAATAACGATATAGTTTAACCATCAAGTATTATTCACAATGTTGATTACTCAAACATCTTTAATTTATTATTTAAATTAGAATTTGACTATTGCATTTTAACTATTCAGATGAGCGAACCTTCAGAAACATCTGGAAGGCGATAAAATCCGTTGGATATGTTAAATAAGATTAGGAATCAAGCTAATATCTAGATAAATAAAAAAATGAGATGAGGAATTAGGCCATCCAAACAATTAAGTAGACGCATGAGTCAATGCAAACGTCTGCTAAACCAGACGTCCCGAAATCGATGCCCA